TTTTTTTTTTTTGAATTTGACTTTGTCTTATTATTATCCCAGTAATGTACCTCTCTTATCTAACTTTCAAATTGATCTTTTTTTGCAGCGGTAGGGATGGTAAATCGTATAGCATGATTAAAAATATGCATGAATTGCTTAGTGTTCGCGGAACACCGATTATACTTCGCAATGGTTTACCTGTGGATCTGAATGAGGTATCACCACTTTTTTAATTGATCTGCAGTTATCATTTGCAATATTTTGAAGAGAATTTTTCACAGGTCTCACAAATATTGTCTATATCCATAAATTGCAGAAAGCAAAACATACCGATACACCAAATTCATTGTTCTTCTATTTTGCTGAAAAAAAAGACCATTATCGTTGGCGTGTTGAAGAAATTGTAACACTGTTTACGACAACAACAGAAAAGAAGAAGTGGTTGGAATTATTGTCAAGATCCTTAAAAGGTATCTGTCTTTAGCTTAAAAAATTTTTTTTAATTATCAAAGAAGAAACTTTTAAAATAATTCCTTTGTTTTGAAGAAAAATTTTTTATAAATCACTATTTTTGACGTTTAGAATTGAGCGAACGACCAAAAACATTGCTGGTATTCGTCAACCCATATGGGGGTAAAGGAAAGGCAAAAAAAGTATACTCAAAACAGGTTTATAATTTTCTATTACTTGGTAATACCATATTTTTGAGTCTTATATATGTAATCCTACATTAGTAAATTATAAATGGCTTAACAACCGTCTTATACAGGTACAACTGATTTTCGAACTAGCAAATATCAAGTGCAATGTTCTTATGACCCAAAGGGCTAATCACGCGTTTGACTATTTGAAAGAACTTGATCCTGACATTTGGAATTCGGTTGATGGTGTAGTTTCCGTTGGTGGCGATGGTTTGTTTAATGAATGCCTATCTGCTATAGTTTGCAGGTACTGTCGTCTTTGATTATCTCGTCATATTTAGGCTACAGTTATCCTTTTTTTTTTTGAGATATTAAGAAGAAGCATTGTGCTAAATCAAGCTAATTTACTGGCTGCGTTTAATGAACTTTTCGAAAAAAATTTCAAAAAAAATTACCGTTACTGTTATGAGAGTATCACTGTTCTTCACTGGGTGCTCTTTAAAACAAATTTTGGTCCAGAACTCAAGAAGACGCCGGAAAGGATATTGCTGACGTTAATGTGGACTCATTAAGTACCCCTCGAATGCGATTTGGTATTATTGGAGCCGGTTCGGCTAACTCGATTGTATCCTCAGTTCACGGAACTGATGATTGCCCAACTGCAGCAATTCATGTTGCGATGGGTATGTTATAATTAAAACACTGGCTGCAGTCGTTAGTTATGTCAAATTCAACAAATATTTTACAGTCATGGAAGTTTGCAAATTCCAGTCTGCTTGCCAAAAAAAAGGAATTTTTGCATTTTAGGTAGCAGATGTCATGTAGATGTTTGTACTGTACATCGTGGTAACGATCTCATGCGAATCTCAGCGAATGCAATTTCATATGGTTGGTTAGGGGATGTTCTTTCTGATTCTGAAAGGTTCAGGTTCATGGGACCTTTCCGATATCAGTATTCTGGTATTCATTTTTATTTATTCAAAATAACAATTTTACGGCTATGTTATATTTTAGTAGCAGCCAAATTAATTAGAAAACATTTTTTCATTTATTTAGCACATTCGGTGACCAAACCCTCCTGTGCTTTCGTAATAACGGAAAAAAGAATAGGAAAAAAAGTTGCAATAAAAAAATAGCAAGCATTATGCATAAAACTGCACTTATAAATATCAGGGATATCATTTCGTATGAAAGGAATGAGCCTTGTTTCAGTGATTTCGTAACTGCTGGCTCAGAGAAATTTTCTTAAATTGCATTTGCTTCTTAAAAATGAGCCAAAAAGCTCCTAACTAACACTTGTTAATGTTAATTGTGTAACACTGCAGCGTTACGAACGACAATTAGACATCCATCGTACTTTGGACGAGTATCATTCCGGCTAATACCCGAAGAGGAACAACGTAAAGACTCGTTGTTTATTGCCAAATGTACTCAGCCTTGTTCAGCATGCGACAGGTAAACTTCAAAAGTCTAAATATCTCAGCAGTTATTTCAAAGAAAAGCTTCAAGTGACTGTCACGTCTAGAAGTAGATCCTTGCATCTACGAATATGATAATTGCAGTGGTGTAGTTGATCCGATTTACCCGTATCACATTCAAACTGACTTCACACATGTAATCTGTTGCGTTATACCATGCGTAAGTCCATTCACCCCCTACGGGCTTGCGCCATATGCTGGAGTTGGTGATGGTAGCATGGATCTGGCTGTAGTACCTCGAGTGTCACGCTGTGATAATATGACGTTCATTCGACGGGTGGCTATGCATGGAGGCAAGAATGTGGTTGCTCGTAGCAGTAACTTGAACGTGTTCCGTGTATCCAGGTGGGCGTTCACCCCATCTGCACTTCTCGATGGTGTACCACAAGAGGAAGCCAAAAAGAGCCAAGGATCCTGGAATCTGGACGGTGGTAAGCACATTTCTTCAATTGTTTATTTGATTGTCTAGATGCCTTCAGCGGTATTTCATCTTCAAAACGTGTTCAAATAGTTCCTTATTATTTCCAGTTATACAAGTTGTTTCATAAAATGTATTTATTTAGAAATCCTTCCACAACCTCCAGATGCTACGTTCCACTTTAGGTGAAGTTTATTTTTGTTTATTTATTTATTTGTTTTTTTTTTTTTCCAAAAATACGCCAAGCAAATAATCGAGTGGAAACAGAAATTTAAGTGATCAGCGTTTTGCCTACCAATATAACTTTGATAAATTGGCAGGGGGAATAAACTCTTTATACATTCATTGTGAATATTAAAAAAGTTTAGACTGCATCCACAACTGATCCGTTATTTTGGACGGGAACTTGACGTAAATGCAATCGAGAAACAACGTGGCGGATGTATGGGCGCTTGTAATTCAACCAAAAGACGTGTGTCCAAAATCGTTACCGTCGACCTACGCAAAACCAAGAAATCCGCTTAAAAACCTAACAATTAATCATTTCCTTTGAAAACTGCCCGCCTTAAAAATTTGAATTAATAAAATAATGCAATTTTGTAGACAAATTTTTGTCTGGAATTTGACACCACAACTATTTCATTGTGAACGAATACGTTTTACATATACATTCATTTGGTTACTTTCAGTTGTTTATTAAAACAAGTCATGGAATTTATGAGAGAGAAAGCCAGAAAGTTGTGCTTTCTCTTTGAAATTTACACAGTAAGTAACAACAGTTGAGAAAATTTTCACTAATTTTTGACTATGACGCTCAGCAAATAATTGAATACCAGGTTCACTCAAAAGAAGCAACATTTTTCCAGCCCATTTCGTTTGTTGTCATAACAGTTTTAAAGTGTAAACGGTGCTGAAAAGTCTCTGATATGACGCCAATAATTGGCTGTTCTTTCACCAATAGGCTCAGAAAAAAAAAAGCAAAGAAGAGGTTAATACCAAAGTTAAAATTTCAGAAACAGCAATCGCTGAAAAATATTAACCAGTACCAATTATTTCGTAAATACATCTGTACAATCACTGTACGGAATTTCTTAGACCATATGCTTAACTTGTTCAGCCTACGAGTTTCTATTCACTCCGGCAGAAATCAGTTGGAACAAGGACAGAGGAAAAACAGATTTTTTTCGAAAGATTTTGCAACAAAGCAAAAGCCACTAAAGTAGTATGGCGACGTGTTGTTTTGAAAAGCAACAAAACACTTTGAAATGGCTAGCGTTTTTGCACTAAACCAAGGATTAATGATGTTTTTGTAAACAGTAGGCAAACAACTACCGAATGCCACCAACGACGACAAATAGCTAATTAATTCGTAAACTAATTGAATACTGGTCAACATTAATGGATATGCATACATTGTGCATTTTGAAATACAACACAAAAAAAAAACATGATTAAAGGAAATTATTTTGTAAAGGCAAAGCTGACACTGAAATAATGGATACTTTTTTTTTGCTGTATAATTATTTGTGATACATATTATGATGGGCATATGATTTTAATTTAATCAGTCAGTGGTACCACTGTTACGTATACCAAGTCAACAATTCCATCAAACGAACACAGTGTTGTCAAAAAAAAAAAAAAGACTGCCCGATTATTCTAGCATTTAGTGAAATAAATAGTTTGCTAGATCACGCAAAATTTATTGACCAAAATGTAAAACAGCAACACCAAATAAACAAATTGAACTGGTTGAAAGGTAAAAACAAATTAATAAAGATAATAAACATTCGTTAACAAAAATTATTATGGTAACAACAGCAGAGCTAATGGGGTTGTTTTTCAGTCATTATGATGAAGTCATCTCCTTAACAAACAGCAGCAACAACAACAACCGGCACCAGAATAGTATAAAAGTATTTACAACCTCTGAACTTGAAAGAATGGATTATTTGGCCTCCCCGGACCGCTAGTAAAAAAAAAGCGAATCATGGAGAAAAACAACCAAAAGTTACACCACGGGATGGTTGCGACTGATTGACGAAAACCACTAACAGATTATCTTCTGCACCAAATACCGTTCCTTCAAAATTTTGTTTACGACGACCGTAGTTGTTCCAAACGGTAGTCCAAAATACTTCTGTGTGGTGTAGAGTGTAAAAACTGCAGAATTGGGTAAAGATCTGTTAGAAGTCTGGAAATTCGTAGTTTCAGCACAATGAACTTCCTGAAATAGTAAATTAAGCATTCCTTTAAAAGGTGGTCTTAGAGTCCGGTAAACGGTGAATCTAATTATAAACTTGCTTAGAGCGGCAAATATTAGCAGCTCTCTTGAACTGATCAGAATTTTTTCTGAAAGTGTTGTTGTTCTCAAATCTTCAACTAGTGCAAGAAAAGGCATTAGACTCTTTTGTGTTTTTTGGTTAGCTTTAAGCCTTGTCAAATTCGTGCTTTAACAGTTAAATTTTTTCCCTAATAAAGTTAAAGATACAGAGAAATTGGTGTAAATATTTACTACAGATTACTACACCGAAAACACGACTCAAAAAGCAAAACAACCTTATTACCATCCTAAAATTAGGCTCATAAAGTCGAGCGATGACTGCAAGGCAGGAAGGTAGCAGTAAAAAACAAGTGTCGATGAAGAGTCGAATAAGGACGAGTTGAAAACGTTGCACAGTAACTGTTGGGCAACCAAACTGTTCTTGGGGTGCTTCTACTACGGTTTTCAGAATATAGTTCCTGCAAAAGAATCAACCATTCCGGTACTGCGTGCCGTTCAATTTCTGCCTCAGATTAATTTCGCTCATGTCTTAACCTACAAGGATTAAGTATAAAAAATCGGAGATCTTCTAGGCAGCTTCTCACTCTATTTTGTTTACTTGTTTATTTCGTTTTCTGTTTTTTTGCAACTAAATTTTTCGCATACAAAACAGGGCTTTTTCTCAAAAAGAGTGAAAGCGATGGAACGTTTTCAATACAGATATCGTCCTGTTTTCAAGAAAACACTTGTTGTTGTTGTTGTTTATTTTGAAACTCAGAAGCCTCCTTTCTCTATTTCACAACAGAAACTTCAATGGGTGGTTACTGGCTTACAATTGTCTGAGTTTAGTTGGCCGGTGAAGTATTCGCTGTTAGGTGTGGATGGAAAGTGTATTTTAGATCCTTCAAACTCTTTTGATGTTTCCGATTGTAACTGTATGCGGAACCGATTATTTTTGCTCATTAAACCATAAGTTTTAGGCGTTCTTGAGTACGAATTGAAAAGCATTCAGTATACTGTTTACAATGATCGGATCTCAGGTAAATTACAACCAAGTTTTTGAAGTAGTGGATTATGTAATTTGTTAGGCAAGTATTATAAGCGACAAGATTTGCATTTTGCTAATTTCCTGTAGTTTGAAGCTCTTATGCTGAAAAAGTGGTGAATATAGACATGTCAATGGGTTTCGACATTAGGAGTGCGATGTGATGGTTGTAGTTGGTCAAGGAATATGACTTTTCAACGAAGTAAATGTAACTGGAATAAGCATCCATATAATGTGCTAGAAATGCAGTCAGTTTAAGGGAGGTGGACCAGAACTGTTGTCATACTGTGTGACAGATATAAGTTGTATATTAGCTTGGGATGGTATCGGGTCATTTTCAGACGTGGATGGGCTTTGATAGGCTAAACTGCTGGTAAAAAAGCGAAGGAGGGTAAAACGTGGGGAAGGTGCTTTAGCTTCTTTTGTTGGTTGTTTCCATCACAATTTTTGCGGTAGTTATCTTTTGGCGGCATGATTAACATAAAGTGTGTGGAAGAAAAGCGGTGACACAGTTTTCGCTTCCAAAAGATAAACTTGCTTTTTAACAGCCTGTCTCGCCTTTTCCACCAGAAAATGTTGAGATACCCCAAGATGTGTGTTGAGGTGTTATCCAATAGTTAAGTTTCTTTGCGTCAGTCTATTCTGAATGCGTTGCTTGTGGAAATTAATCAGGATTTCTAAATTGTCCAAGACTTGGTGTCTCGTTCTCATTAACTGATTGTTAGCAGCAAAGACTGGAGCTCATTTTCATGCTCTACTGTTGCGAATGGAATTTTTTGTAGAGGTCAAGTACTGGCAACCGGTACAAGAAGGTTACCGACATTAAAGGCGGTACTGTTCAACAGTTTATCGACTTGGTATGGCTATGCTTGCGAGCTCTTTGATTAACCTAGCTCTCTTTTATCAATTGCAATGGTAAACTTGGAGAGACCAGCCATTTGTGCTTATGTGGTTGACCAGATTTTTTTAATATCATGTCTTTTTCGCAAAACTTTGTTTTGAAGGAGAGAGCAGAAGCTGGTATAAAAGATGCTGAAAAGGCACCAGAAACTTTCCAACAGGTAATTTAAATTGGATTTATCTAAACTATCTAACCGTCGTATTTAATGTACTTGATTATTTTTGCGTGAAATGGAGGATGTCATGTTTTTAGACAGGTCGTCAGGCTCGATATAGCACACTGTCTTTCTGACTGAATTTTTTTTACTTTTACTGGGGTATCAAAGAGTTGTTTAAGGTGCCTCGAAAGGTGATAAAATCAGAAGTCAGCTCTGAGGAGATGGAAGTTGACGAGGCATCGGCGGAGATCAAAGGTGGTGTTCCAGGAAGTGACGAATTGATGAAAAAAAGGAACTCCTCAACCAGAGAAACACGTCCTGCCATATGGATCCATTAACCTTTTAACTCGTCATGGAACTTCAATCTGACATATTTTTTCGGTTAAAAAATGTTTCATGTTTGTAGAAGCAACAACACCACCCGACTCAACATCAGAATGATGGGAAGAATCCTATTTTCATCGAGATGGGGATAAAGGTGTGTTGAAATGACTGTACACATTAATATAGTTTACAAGAGTAGTTCAGCAGAGGGATGGAACGTGAAGTTGTCGGAATGCGGAAGAGAATAAGCTTGACTTAAGCGACTCTATGCATGCATCTACTTTGACGTAAAAGTTGCAGGGAGCTGCTAGTCGTTGAGGACATGAAGTCGGTGATTATGAGGAAGATATTCAGCATAAAGGTTCGCGTTCAGTGGAGGAGGTAGTTGTCAACACTATTCAAGCCTTTTCATCTCGTTTGAACTGTGTACCAAAGAATTTCCGGAAAACCTCGCTCAGGCAGGATCAGTTAAGGTGTTTTCTGCCAACAGTTTGCGATGATGCCTGCAAACCGTACGTATAACATTTGCTTAATGCACTACATTATTCAGGCGACAGCCACTTGTGGATCGCATGGTCAGTATGGTTATGAGGATGGATCTGATGATAGCGGACAGGATTATGAGGGGAAAAATCCTAATAGAGTGAAAGGCGGGAAAAGAGTTAGTTTTAATTTGAGGAATATCTCTATTCAAGTAACATTTGCTTTATGCACTACACCATTATTCAGGCGGCAGCCAGTTGTGCGTCGCATGGTCAGTATGATTATGAAGATGGATCTGATGGAGGTGATCGGGATTATGAAGGAAAAAATTCTAACAGAGTGAAGGGCGGAAAAGAGTAAGTTTCAATTTGATTAATATTTTCATTCAATTAACATTTGCTTTGAGCACTACATCATTATTCAGGCGGCAACTACTCGTGCATCGTATGGTGAGCATGGTCATGAAGAATGATCTGATGAAGGTGATGGGGATTATGAATGAAAAAATCTTAACAGAGCGAAAGGTGGGAGCAGAGTAAGTTTTAATTTGAGTAGTATTTTTACTCAAGTAACATTTGCCTTGAGCACTATATCATTTTTCAGTCGGCAGCCTTTCGTGCATCGCATTGTTTCTTTGATCAACATGATGGATTGGACGATGGTGGGCTGGAGTATGAAGGGAAAAATCCTAATAGTTTGCAGGGCGGAGAAACGGTAATTTTAATTTGAGTAGTATCTTCATTAAAGTAACGTTTACTTCATGCAATACTGCATTATTCAGCCGATAGCCATTCGTGTAGCGCATGGTCGGTATGGTTTCGAGAGCGAATGCGTAAACGATATATATTGAATGGACATTTTGTAATGGGAAGTTATGCAGCTGAAAGGATTGAACACGTTCTTTACTAGCTAATTAATGTAATTGGTTAATGAATTGGTTCGTCAACATTTCGATCGTCGGTTAAGCAGAATTATTTGATTAGTTGGTTGAATGATGGTTATATGGATGGGTAAAGTACGAACGGTGTAAATTGTGACGACTGTTTGTATGTAGAGATATCACATATTGTTAGTATAACACATCACACATGTTTACGAATTGTTGACAATTTTATAGATTGTGATATAGTCTAGTTGCTGTCTATGAAAAATTCAGTCCATATACTGCAGACGGTAGTACTATGTTGCATAATGTCGTATTCTAGAAATCATTGAAAAATTACGTTATGCAGTGTGTCTTAGCGTGCCAGACCAGATATGAACAGTACGGATGCAAGGCAAATTCGTCATGGAAATAGGTGGGAGAGTGTTGGTGCAGTTTTGGCAGCTCGCCAGCAAGTTTTTTTTTTTAAATGCTAACTGTTGTTTACTTGTTGGTGAGGAAGTGCGGATGGGCACGTTTTGTTTCGTCATGTTGTCTTATCAATAACCAAGAGAGGTGTTGAAAGCGGCACTAAACTGTCTTTTAGAACTGCTTTCGGAATAATGGAACACTGATTTCGGTTTTGTATTAGTGAAATTTACAGTTCTAGAGTATGTTTGTACGGTACAGCGGCAGCTGTCGAGCTTGTATGGATTGTTGACTTTGCAGTCTGCAGTTGAGTATGTTTCCAAATTCGCCTGTAGTGTCCACTGTTTTCTAATATATAATGATTTCCGGGCAGTTGACCTGAGGCAGTTGTTGCTTTTTCTGTATTGTAAATTGTACACCAGGTATTACACTAAGCGTAAGCAAGTTCAAAAATGAGAGACGATCTAACGTCGAATGATTTTGGTAACGCATTATAGAATGAACAAAATTTCCGGTTACTGATGGGAAGCATATTTCATAGTTGACAGCGAGGGTATTCTTTGATGACGAATAATGGAAAGTCTGACACCAGATTTGAAAAGGAAACTGAAAAGCATACGCAGTCATCTGGATAGCCGCTGTGACAAGGAAGCTAAGGAATTAATAGAAGTACTTTAGACTTAGTTGCAAGTTTTTACGATTTATATATATATTTTTTTGAGAAACGACTGCCAGTAATGTGATTTAAATTTAGGAACTCCTAAAGGAAGGTGTGAAAGATTATTTTTTGTACGTTTTCGCCGCGGTGGTGTACAGTAGAGAAAATGATCCAGTAAAAGCCTTTGAATTTTACAAAAAGGCCGTAAGTGTCGAAAGCAACCACGCAAGTGCTTGGCAAGGGATTTTTAAACTTTATGAAAATGGTGACCTACGTTTTGACGACTTTGCAGTTACGGCTCTGGACAAATTAATTGCTCTGAGGTAAGCTTGCAAGACTCTCCCGAATTCCTTAGTTAGCTCTGTACCGTGAAAAAGGAGTAAAGATTTATTGCACTTTTGATCCTCAGTGTTGGGTGAATAAATAAGGTATTGTTTTCGTAAACTAATAATTTTAATTTCGTTCGCTACCTTTCCTCTTTCTTTTCGCTGTTCGGAAGCGTATTTTAACTTTTTTTTTGCAATATCCTTTTAGTTCTGAGGAAAAACGTGTGCCGTTACAGAAGAAACGTGCCGATGTTTTACTCGGTCTGCAAAAATATGATGTTATTCTTGCTGATGATCAGCTAATGAATGATGAAGAATTCTGTTATTGCGCCATTTGTTCTATTGTGAACAGTGAAAAGAAGTATTCTGATGTGGAACGGGCTTTGGTAGGGAACTGTTGC